CTGCATCACAAATTATCTGAACATTTTGAACTGTATTTGTTTTCGAAAACTGAGTCGAAAGAATGTATCAGTAGCTTTACTTGGAATCCAGTAACCATCGTGGCGTTTTGCTGGACTGGCGTTTTGTATAGATGCACACGATCCCCAGAAATCCGTAAAATTTTCCTAATAGTKTAGATGCACACGATCCCCAGAAATCCGCCACTAACACTAGTCCGTATATGTCGTAATGGCGACCGGCCACGCTTAGCATAGCTCCTCAAAATCGACGCTATAGAGATCACCTTAAAGAAAAGGTTAAGGAGTTAATACAACAAGAACTGACCCCAAGGAAGAAACGAAATGAATTCTACAATAATCGTAAGAAACTAGCCAAGAAGAAGGCAAAAGATCTACCGAACCTTGGGTTGGCCTCAGAGGCTAAAGCGTTCGTCGGCGAATCACTAACACCTCTCCGTAAGAGACTGTTTGGAGAAATTTAACTAAAAAAGAGCCTTCAGTGGAAATACATTTGGACCAGCAACGGTAGAATATACCTCAAGAAAACAGAAACATCTAGAACGTATTTCTTTGAGAAGGATGAAGGTCTAGCGAAATTTCAAGATGAACACTTTTCCTTTGGCTGACAGGATTCATATCAAGGAATACAGGTACAATTCCTGCGAACTTACAACTATCTACTGTTTATAACTATGCAGCACTATACTTTATTTATATAGGGTGCGTTCACATTAGGCATGTTTTATCAGGTGTCTGCAAAACACGGAATAGGCCGGAACACCCCGCGCGCTGATTGGTTATAAGAGAACATTAAGATAACTTTGACGTCAACGAGCGCGCGCTCTTTCCTTTAGTTGTTTTGATCATTAAAAATTGTAATTTTTTAATTGTAAAAAAACAAAAACAAATTGACATCAGGTTTTTGTGTCTGTCCTCTCACATTGTCAAAGTATGTTGCGTATCCACACTACTTTGTGATTACAATGTGATGACGCAATTTAGTATCGTCAATAAGAGGACAGACACAAAAAAATCTAAAGTCAATTTGTTAAATATTAATATTTTCACAAACGAAATAAAAAAATGTCAATTTAAATGAAACACACAAAAAGTCAGTCAGTCAGTCGTAGCTTTTTAGCAGCCTGATTTTTTACGGACCATTATCGAAAGAGAAAATCGGAAAAAAACCCCTGCCAAATCACTTTTCCTCCCTTAGAGGTCATATCTGGACATTTAACTGGATTAAAGGGACTATATTCATATTTATACACACCCTCTGGTGATTTCTATAATCCCCCTCGATTAAAAAGTTATCAAGAAAATGGGACTATAAATATGGCTCAAACACTGTTAAATGGGAGTTCAGCTAGTAGGCCTAAATCTTTGAATCTTTTCCAGTGCACATTATACACTTAATGTCTGGTCGCGAGGGAAATAGTTAGTTTTGTTTTCCCGAGAGTCTCTCATCGAGGCGAAGCGGAGGGGAACATCGAGACTCGAGGGAAAACAAAGCTAACTAATTTTCCGAGGGACCAGACATTAAGTGTTTCGTCATATAGCAATAATTGAGAAAGACTGAGAAGTCAGTTCACGAAATAAGAACTTTATTTAGCAAGCTAAATGCATGAAAACTGACCATAATTTTACAAATACAATTATACAAATATAATTTCACATACGGTCTAGTAATCAAGGAGAGAAGTAACAGCATTTTTAGCCGCTTTTTTCGTATTTTCCGAATCCTTTTTCTTAATAAAAGTCTGTAAATTCTCTGTATAAAAACTRGAAAATCTCTATTGTTTCGCTTCGAGCTCCATTTGTACTGAAAATTCAAGCAAAATATCTGCTCCCGCTCTGTGATTTTCACGTTCTGATCACGTGCACTTGTTTACCGTGTTTTCACCATTTTTGTCAGCACTGKCGACAGTCAGCACTGGCGGAAATAATCTGATAACTCAATTGGTCTAAGTCTGCTTTTGGTCGAGGGTCGAGGGTATTGTGTCGAGGTCGAGGGTATTAAGTCGAGGGTCGGAAAGTACTATGTTTTACACAATATTCAGAAACAAGTGTTTTCTTTAGAAGTTTATCCATTTCTAACTGCAGCAAGCTTTGTAGCTTAAACGCTGATCTGCAACTTGTTACTTGTCATCACGTTATGACGGTTTCCATGTTCGTAACGCTTTCCACTAGCTTGTCCAATGCGCATGCTTTTCTATATCTTAATTAAGAATTTGGAGATTGTCTGCAAAAAAAATCAGAATATTATTTGACGCCCGAGCGAGTTTTGAATTAGCTGATCCGTATACACTCAATTGAAGAATCGTTGTTCAGAAACATAGAACATAGCAGCTGAGACCGAAATGGCACATGGGAAATGACATAATTTATTCATTTGCGCCATCCATGCAGTCGGTTTAGGATGCCAAACGCTTATTAAAAACAGTGGATGATTCCACGGGTCGGCGGTCAGAGCATGCATCTAATTAACGTGCTTCCCATGTACCATTTCGGTCTCAGCTTCTATGTTATGTTTCTGAACCCGACAACTATTCTTCAGTTGAGTGTATACCTACAAGGAATCTTCGATCTTCCAATAGCAATCGTTTAGTAAGTGTAACATATAAACTTAAAATCAGTTCAAAACACAGTCGACTCTCTTTGAACAA